TTTATTGCTTATTGTATATTGAGAGCTTATACACCTGAGACAAATTCCTTGTGTGTCTAATCAGACTTAGCCAATTAGCCTTATTGTCTAATCAGACTTAGCCAATAAAGAATTTTAATTCTAATTTTTAGATCATCTAATATATGAATGATTCTATCATGCCCCTGTCAGAGTCTGAATCTGAAGAGGAAGATGAACAGCTGACAGGGAGTAGGAGTATGGCTTTGTTGGCTGTGGAGGAAACTGGGGAAGGTGAAAATCCAGATGGGCAGAGCAGAAGAGAGATAGAACAAGGGAGAGGGAGTTCAGAGGAAGACCCAGGCCCACCCTCCTCTTCATCCTAGGGCATACAGGGAGGAACGGAGAAGAGAACTACGTTGCATGGCTTATGGGGGAGAAAAGGGACCTGATTCCCTTCATTAGCCACACCTGGGAATGAGAGTTTAAAAGAAATGCATGCTGAGTGTGGCAGCTGCTGGGAGAAAACGTGACTTTATCTTGTGTTGACTTTGTTTATCTGTGTTCCTGGCGTCATCCCAACTGTATAGAGTTATTGCCATGCCTTCACATCTGGAATTCTTGCTCCTGGCCTGTCAGACCAATTACCTCATTTTGCCTTGATTGAACTTATAGTTACCGTTTTTGTTGACATGATTTTCTGCAGCCAAAGGTTGTTCCTAGAAGAGTTTTTCTCCGGCCTTTCTCCAGTTTTTCTCCAGCCAGAAGGTAACCAGGACATTGGGGGCAAAGTTGGAGCTACTAAAGAGACTCCTACTGATTTTCAACACTGACTGTGTTGCCTTTGTGCCATGCCCCGAGTCATCACAGATTCTTTCTAGGCTGCTAATTCCTTATAACCTTCTTCCAGTACTCATAATAAAATCTCCATGCCATGGAGGTGCATAGAGGAAACAAGAGGTCTATAGGGAAACAATTTATAAGAATTTTGGGGCTATCCTTCCCCCCGCAAAAAACCTTTAGACTCCTCCAAGATCCTTGCAGAGCTCTGCCATTTATACTGAGAATATGAATTTGGTTGATAAGATCTTCTGACATTAACAATTTTGTTCAGTACCATTTATCTACCACGCTACAGAAATTAAAATTTAATTCCTTGCAGAATGTTTCAAACTTATATGGTCAAATAATGCATCATATTTTGGAAGTATAGTGGTTTTATTCCTGCAATTCTTTGTAATTGACACTGAATTATTTACTTGTAATTTTAATGATCCTGGTTATCCAGTAATACAATGTTAATTAGAAAAGCTAATTCTAACAGCCATCAGACTGGTTTATTTTTGGCATCATGTTACATAGTTAATTTATATAAACATTTAATTGAGTTCCTTATTAAAATTCAAGAGAGGGCATAAGCAATTGTGAAGATAATTATAGTCAAGAAAAAGCTGTTTTTACATATGTTCTGGCTCTATTTGAGGTTTTTGCTTTAGGATCCTGTTAATATAGAATAAAAAATGTTTTAATGGTGGCAATATTATGACTTGACTAGAAGATACTTCTTAGGCTCTATGCTATGAGCTTCCTTGAAGAAACCAAGAAAGTACTTAAGAATAGTACACACTTCCAATATAGTAAATATAAATGCAAAACTCTTATGCTAATACTTATATTTTACTGATTTTCTTTCATTAAGATGAGAATTTGCATTTAACACAGAAACTAATTCTAATTACAGCTGCATTCATCAAAACAGAGATCTTAAGAAATAATTATTTTGCTATTAACATAGCTGAAATCAACTAACATTATTTTGCATAAACTCTGAGTAGCTTTTACCTTTGCAAAAAAAGAAAGAAAAAGAAACATCTTAGTAGTTTGCTTGTTTACTCTCTCTTTGTCACTTAATTTGAACCTGATAGGATCTCCTTCCTAAAACAACATCAGGTGGCACCTCTAAAGTGTCAACATTTCTCACAGTCTAATATTAGATTTAGCATCTGGCCTACATTTCTCCATGTCTCTTTATCATGGCTAGATTTGAGCAATTTCACCAAATTATAATTTACAAAGACTGTCATTGAAGTGCCACAGCATTGCTTCATTTTCCTTTTATGAGCATAGGGACAACTTTGAAGCTTGTCTAATAGCAACTGATTGGCTTGTTTTTAAGCTTATAAGAAAAAATTAAGACAAAAAGCACAGAGCCCCAAAATAGAGCATGGGGTAGTTATGTCTGGATATCGATTTCTTTTCAAACATGGATAAGTTCGTCAGAAGTTTTTCTTGTTTGGAAGAGGTTGCAGTTAGCGCAATGATGCTCTGAAAAAAAAACTTAAGGGCTTCGGTGGAAAAACCAATAATTGCATAACTATTGGAGAAAAATTAGACAGACGGACTGATGATTTTACAAAGAGATGCTTAAAAAGAAAATCATAATAGCATATCATTGATAGTAATGATAGTTTAATACAGGGGTCCCCAACCCCCCGGTCTGTGGACCTGCACCGGACTGCAGCATGCCAGCAACCGGGCCGTGTAAGCAAGCGAAACTCCATTTGTGGGATGCAGACTCACAACCACTTCCTGTCTGGTCCGCAGAAAAAACGTCCACCACGGAACTGGTCCCTGGTGCCCAAAAGGTTGGGGGCTGCTGGTTTAGTACTTAATCTCAAAGCAACATGATAATCAAAAAGTAAAAGCAATATGCTGTTTGAATGCATCTTGAAGATATTTTTGTAATTTATGACTAAGTAAACTGATCTCTATACATCTAAAAGAAGGAATTAGTTTTGCAGGATCACAATATCTACCTTTTCCAATACTGCAAAAGAAGAGACAAATGATACAACAGCCATGGTAGGAATATAGTGATTATTTCTCATGCTTTTTATTGCAAAAGTAGAGGACTAGAGTCAGACATTGTAAGTTTTGGAAAATGAAAGTACTGACCCACTCTATTGCAAGTCCAATTAAAAAAAAAAAACCCTTTCCATTTACTTGCATCTCAAGGAAAAACTCAATTTGTGCTACAAAAAACTTTCTTATAATGCAGACTTCGAAGATTTATTTTTTTCTACACACGTCATGGGAAGAAAGAATTAAACCTTTCCGTGTCTCAAAACTACTTACTTTTCAGAAAAGTCACTGTATGCTATAATAACATTCACAAAATTGATCTGTTTGCTCTGGCAAAAATGTGTTGTTTGTAAGCTATCCCTCATTCCTGTGTATTTCATGAACATCTTACATTATGTTACCCTGAGAGGGGTGACAAATGATTGTATTGTAGTCCCTCTTCAATGCATATATCCACATAATTGTGCAAACTCTGACAAAAAACTTTCATCTCCATCTTCTGGTAGATAGAACAGTTCCAATTCCACTGCATTCCACAGGAATTCTGATTGTGAACATGACAAAAGCACTAAAGTGTCTAGCTTCTTTATGCAAACTATTGATTAAAATAAAACAAATGCCAAGAGGTTTACTTGCCCGATTAACTGAAGTAGAACAAATATTCATCTGTTATGAATACTTAGGATAGACTGAAGTACTTAATGGAGTGAAAATATCGAAGTACAATATTTCAAGTATTCCCTCACTTGTGTTCAAACGAGAATGACTATGATTTGTTTCCCTGCAAAAACCAGGCCATTTAATTTCTTTATGGTGTACAAATCTAAACATTCACTGGAAATTGGTTGTACTGGGAAATGATATGAACAAAATTTCCCAATTCTCAAATATATTTGAAATTAATCCCTTTGCCTTGATATGGTGGTAATTTCTCTAGATTATTTTCACAGTCTATTTCTAAAATTATTTATTGTCCCAATAACTGTATGAAATCACTCCAAAACAGGCTGGCTAAAACTATATTGTAGGTATAGTATTACTTGAGTTTCTTCCATAATAGTATTGTTTGTTTGTTATTGTGTGGTAGTAGTTTATTAGACAATACATAGTGGTGCTTAAAAGTCTGAAAACCCTTTTGAATTTTCAATATTTATGCATAAATACAACTTACAAAACTGGAAAAAAGAGAATCCAATTAAACAAATCAGTAAATCATTCATTTATTAAGGAAAATAATCCAAAAGTATGTATTTTATAATATTTATGCCCTTGATACTGATCCTATGAAAAATTATTACTTTACTATCCCAAAGGTGCTTTTTCAAAAGGCAACTGGACTTTCTTTATATTGGCTTGAAGAGTATTTGCTTCTCATCTAAGATGCTGAAGAAGCTTCTTGGATGAGAAGCAAAACATTCCAAGCAAAAACAAAGTCCAACTGCCTTTTCAAAATGCACCTTTGGGACAACCATGACCTGGATGACTGAGAATCTCTATATACATATTGTTTTACTACTTATTTTGGAGAGATTGGTAGGTTCTGCTGCTTTATTTTATTTTTCATGGATTTCCAGCAGTGGTGGGATTCAAAATTGTTTACTATCAGATCTGTGGACATGGCTTGGTGGGCACGGTAGGGGAAGGATACTGTAAAATCTCCATTCCTCCCCACTCCAGGGGAAGGATACTGCAAAATCCCCATTCCCTCCCCACCCCACTAACCTGCCTTCCAGCTCCGTTCTCCTGTGCAGGGCAACAAAAGAAGAGCCAGCTGATCAGCTGGGACTCAGGAGGCAGAGAATAGATGGGGGCAGGGCCCGTCAGAGGTGGTATTTGCCAGTTCTCTGAACTGCTCAAAATTTCCACTACTGGTTCTCCAGAACTGGTCAGAACCTGCTGACTACCACCTCTGATCTCCAGGAATCCTGAGTATTATTGGAATTACCTCTTAGCTGATCTCTATTCTGATATTACCTGCAGAATTGCTAAATTTGTGCCTCTGTGTTAATAATCACCATTTTAATGAATTCAATAAATTCCATCTTTATACATTCAAATCATTACTTTGATCCATAGGTACAATTTATGAAATATTTCATGGTATAATTTAATTGGAATGCTACTGCCTTCCTTGAATATCTTTTAGGGCAAAAGCTACCAAGAAAATAAAGGTCACTTACTCCTGTCTTCTCATCGAAGATCTTTATTCCTCCAAAGGAGATGGTTAGAAATATTTTCTGTTTATGTTCACCTTTTGAACGAGATGCAGCAACAATTCCCTGTTGGGAAAAAATAAGTATTTCACATTGAAAATAATTTCATTTTGTTTCTTCTGACTGTTCTCATATTAAAAAAGGTCAACTTCCCATTGCCTTCAACTTAGAAATTTGGGGAAATTTTTTTCATTTATGTGAAAAAAAAACTGTACTTCTATCTAATATGCATAATATTTATGTTTATTTTAGACTGGGCTGAACACTGGTTTCAATGTATATGTTTGTTTTCAAACTCTTCCAGTCTATGGAAGTGGAATGTAGCTGAAAAAAGGGCTGAGTGAATGCATACCATACAAATCCAGGATTTTCTGATTATTTTGACATATCAAAATTATGTAATTAATGGTCTAAGTTAGGAAGTTGTAATTAATTTCTATTGCTTCCTTTTTTGGCAATGAAGATTATGACACTATTCACTAAATTACAAGGGTAACATTGATTCTGAGCAGATTATCCTATCTACTCATAGAAGAAATCCTTTACACACTTATACAAATCTGTGAAATTCAGGGAATAGTTGTTTGACAATTCTGACAACAAAAATATCCTGTTAAAAGGAAGGAAGACTGGAGACATATTTGCTGAAAACACAGATGTTTCTGAAGATTAGCCATCCTTTCATAGAGTTTCCTAACACATTTTGTAATGCTTAATAAGCTTCTCAACTTCACCCTTTCTTTTGCTAATTTTTGCCCTCCCCTAATCTTCATCCACTTCTTTCTCTCCATATCTCTTTCCTTCTCTTACAGTAGTTGCCTCTCCAATCACCACTCCAACCCGCACACATTCTCTACCCACCCACCCACCCATCCTTTTTGGTTATCTATTTTGGAAAGAAATAACAACAATAACCATAAGTTCTTATTTTATGCATCTCAAGGTGCCTACACAAATGCTGCCACTTTTTCCCCACAAAAACAATCATATCAAGTAATCTAGGCTGAGAAAGAGTGGCTGGCCCAATGTCACCCAGCTTTCATGCCTAAGAGATGATGAGAATGCATGATAAACCTTTTCTAATACAGCTCCTTAATCTCTATAACATACCTAATTAGCTCTATGGAACATGTCTATTTTTACTAGCAGCAGAAACTGCTTAGAAGAATCTCATTGTGTCTTTCTTGATTTTGGAGCCTGACAGTATCCATGCCCATCTATTTTCTCTTCTGGTAAATACATCCCATATCCTGAAAATAATGTTAAACACAATGATAAAAATACTACGTGTCAGCCAGTTCCAAGCCTAGTCAACCAAACTTCAGTGTGTGTGTGTGCGCGCGCATGCGCATGCATGCATTTGTTGAGGGAAGGAAATGGTTAGTATATGTAAACAAACCATGAATTTTTATTATTTTGGGAAAGGCATTTTCAGTTTCAAAATACATTTTTTGTATATGCTATACTGTTGAGCATAATTTTTACAATATTCCCATAACCCTAGTATATGTTTGATATAGTATATAATATATTATAGAGAGATGTTTGTTTGTATAGTTGATTTATATGGCTGCCCATTTTGTAACAGTGAGTCTGTATAATAACTTTCACTTTAGTTAAAGTTGGCCAGCCTAGGTTGACTAGTTTGGAACTGGCTGATACATAGTACATTTATCAGTGTGGTTAACATTCCCATATGTAACATAGATGGATTGAATCAACCTATGGGGTATGTTTATAAGAAGAGAAAATAGATGGGCATGGATAGTGTCAGGCTCCAAAACCAAGAAAGACACACTGAGATTCTTCTGAGCAGTTTCTTTTATTGTTTCTCAACTATAGACAGAAGCCTTGCCAAAACAAAACAGACTACTTATACCATAAAACACAAACTCTGGGGAAACTATTAAGGGAGAAGCTATCTTGACCATTTTCTTCCATACAGTGCTATCTATTGCTACTATTGCACTCTCCTGGGAACCAGACAATATCCCATTCTATTCCACTTCATCAATATGTAATGAGTTATGATGCACAACCAGAAGTCAAATCAAGGACAGTGGTGTAATGATTAATTAGGATTAGAAGGCAGAGAAGAAGAAAGGAGTACAGAAAAAGCTGGAATCAATTCTGGAAAAAAGACATGCCAGTGACCAGACAGTTTATGCCTATGAAACACTTGAATGTAATAGGAATACCTTTATACAGTATTTTTTTCTCATGAAGTTCCCATATGTAACATAGATGGATTGAATCAACCTTTATATCAATTCATTCTGCAATCTATATATTACTACAACTTTTGTTGTCATTATTTTAACTGGCTAAGATAGTGCATCATAGGACAACAATATTTGAACCAAGGTACCTCAAATGAGATAACATAAAAAATGTGTCCAAAATCTTGGACCCACAATTCCTGATAGAATGACATTGTGGCTGTTTCAATGCTACTACCTGCTGCTGTGGTCAGAAGATAGTGCCACAGAAGATCTTGATGGAAGGAAGCAACAAAGGAAAGAGAGAGGAAGATTTTTTTAATTCCCATTGCCAGCTTCCCACAAGGGAGGAAGGGAAGATTTGTCATCTCTCTGTCAGATTCTCAAAAGGAAACTCAGTGGGGAAGCCAGCAGGAAGTCAAAGGTTGCTCTAGTTCCCACCACCTTTTTGGTCCCCTTTGGTCATTCTGTTTCTCTGCTTAAGTAAGGGAATATCTCTTGAAATGATAATGCAATGGGATACTGGTTGTCTAGTTTACCATGCAGGTTGTGATCCTGACAATTTGTTGAGGGCAATAATTCTTAACAAAATGTTTGTAGCTTATAATGCTTGGCAAATTCTCACAAACTGAACAAGCTTATAGAAAAATAGCTATAGGAAAGAATGATAAATAGAAAGTAATTATGGAAAGTAGACAAATCTAGGTGGATAGCAAAATTGAAGTAGAAAAGTAAATAGCTATAAAATGTGACAGGAGTAGAATAGGCAGGAATAAGAACAGGCTTGAAAAGGGCTAGACAACTGTAGGTTTCTACTTTAAAATCTAAGGTTATATACTGGACTGTTAGCATATTTTCCTTCTAATTAGGTTCCCATTATATATGTTTCTCAAATTAGATTCAATACTTCAAGTCTTTGCATGGGTATTTCTTATTATATTGGTACCATGGAAACAGATTATTGGAGTAATTTTTCCTTGCTATAATTCTTTGTAATATGAATATGAAAGTTACAGGGTCCAAATCTGGTATACTTTATTTGAACCCATCAACATTTCATTTTATGTACTGAGGTAAGCAATGTTGTCAGACTATGGTGTACGTGCTTTCCAATTATTAATCTCAGCCTTACATTTAAAGTAAACTCTTTAATTGGCTAGTATATTCATATGATTTATGACATTTTTATTCCCATTTATATGGAGGCATATAAAAATAAAGCAGAGATAAGGGAGTTGTCCTGCTCTTACAGGGTTTCAAGTCAAGGTCATTTCACATAAAAAAATACTTTCTCACACAACACATTGAAACTAGGGAATTCACAGACAGCTGTTGTGGTAATAGCAGCCAATTTGAATGCTTTTGAAAAAAGTATTGGGGAATCAGGCTTCAATAGCTACTAATATTGATGCCTGTTTATTGCTTCCTGAATGATCAGCAGCATGCCATAAATGCTGATTGCTTCACAATGGAAGGAACTGTTGACTTCTAATTCAAGCCTGAGAGCTTCTCAAATCAATCCAGTTGGCTAAAAAGTGACACCAAATGCTGGTGTAAGGCCTACAGAACTGCAGAATAATGGAGTTGGAAGGGACCTTGGAGGTCTTCTAGTCTAACCTCACTGCTCAAACAGGAGACTCTATTCCATTCTAGACAAATAGCTTTCCAGTGACAAAACCTGGATGCAGCATTCTAAGTGTGTGTGTATGTCCCTCTGTCACCGTCTCTCTGTCTCTCTCCTTCTAGAAGCCAGCTAGAAAGGCTCATGCACCCGATGCATCTTGGCATCTTGGCCACCAGCAGCTTTAGCCCAACAGGCAAAAAAAGGCCACAGTGAGTGGGGAAAGCCAGATCCCCATTGGAGCCCTAGTTACCCAGGCCCAGCAGAGATGGGGGGAAGGCTGGGTTTGGGCAGCCATAGTGCCAATGCAGATCAAGCTTTCCCCACTTGCGGTGGCCACCTTTTGTCTTTCTAGCTGGCCACTTTGCCTCCTTTGGGTTGAGTGGGTCTGCTGAGTGGTGGCGGAGTTGCCACTCAGGAACTGCCAGGAGTAGAGACGCCTGTTGATGCGTCTTCTTCATTGGGGCTGTCAGCAGCAGCCCCGGAGTGCTTTTGGGGCTCTGCCCAACTGACACAGCTCCTTCAGATGGAGCCCCTGAGGATGTGGTCCCTTCCCTGGATTGAAAGCAGCCTTCTGTTGTGCACACACACACACACACACACACACACACACACACCACCACCACCACATCTCCATTCTGATCTGAGGATTGTAGCTAAATTTCCGGCTCAGATGGCATTCCCAGATGACGCAACTTGGGGATAGTAGGGCTTCCCTCCGCGCGAGCAGGCAAATTGGCAGGGCACTAGCCGAACCAGTACCTGGGGCTCAAAGTCCCTCTTCCTCAACTTTGGGATGGGCACCACTTCCTACCCCGCCCCACGCCATGCTTTGGGGAAGCCTGGTCAGGAGCATTTGTTGGGTCTGGTAGCAGATGGGGAAATGCCACGCCCTCTCCTGCTTCCTGCAGGGACTGCTGGTGGAACACCCCTCTTGCACACACACCGCTGCAGTCAGGTGCATGAGGGGAACACAATCCATGCACAGGCCAAGGGCAAGACCTGAAGGAGCCTGAGGAGAAGATGATCAGTAGCGACCTGCTCTCCAACTACAAGCCGAAACAGTGGGATAAATTAAGCGTGTCCAATGGTCCACATCACATTCCTTCCCACGACCTCCGCTTGCTGCCTGGACAGCCAACTTGGTGTTGCCAGTGGGCTCTGGAGCAACAGTGTATGCCAGCTGAGGGGCTGGTAGGCTGCATTTACAGCTAGAAACTATTCCCCACACACCCGCACAAAGGGCAGCAAGCGATGGGTTGTAGCTGTAGCTGATGGATTTGGCTGTAGCTGCCCCATTCCCTGCCTCACCTCACACCTCATCCTACAAGATGAGCCCATCCACCATCCCACCCATCAGAGACCCCTGGATTCCCTTCCCAATTCCACCCCAACCCACAGGCAACTCCCACACATCCTACATCAAGCGGGCCATGCTCCATGGCCATGCCCAGTCAGTCATGACCACTCTGGCCATGCCCATTCCCCTGGCCACGCCCCCCCATCCCACAGATGACAACCAAAATGCTGATCTGGCCCTCAATAAAATTGAGTTTGACACCCCTGTTCTAGACGAATACCTTCCATGAGACTTTGCTTGGGTATAATTGAAGAACATCCAGAAGCTGCAACTGGTGCAGGATATGATGAGAGAAGAATATGATTGCTTCTAGATATGCCCATGTTGCATCTACATTGGGTCCCAATATGTTTTTTGGTGTAATATGTTTTGGGGGGAAGCCTTTCTCCCATTGTCTCCACTCATCCTGTTAGATTTGGCAGGAGGGGCATGTTCTGGATATCACGAATTAAGGAGTGTCTATTTTGCATGACCCAGGAATTTTCTGTCATAGTGCTTGCCTTCTGGAATGCGACATCACCCAACATTAGATTAGCTTGGAGCCTTTCAGAAAGCTATGAAGACCTGACTATTTTCCTTATCATAGGAGTTGGGAAGTCAGATGAGGCTAGGTAGATTGGTTTCTGGTGTTCTTAATTGCCAGAGTATATTATTTGTATTTGCTTTTGTTATTTTGCTTCCAAATAATTTTTAAATGTTATAGCCCTCCAGAATTGTGTCTGCAAGATGAAAGCCATGTAAATAGATTAAGTAAATACATTTTTTTTTCAAATCTCTGCTTTAATTGCAATATACAATGTATCTATCATTGCTTAACCTTATTCTTGGTCAGGAATATAAACATTCATATTCCAAACCACAGCATCACCACAAACATTCCTCATATATTTTCCCATAAATATGTTAAATAATACAAATATCACATTTTCTTATCATACTTCTTGCTTGATGTTGAAGTTTTTACTAAGCATTCTGTCAATGCTCAAACTTCATTTCCACCATTTGCTGCTGTTATTATATTTACTGAACAATGAATAATTCTGCATTTGCACACATCATTCCACAATTCAAAACCACTGACCTTATCATATTAATTCTGTAAATCAACAAATTCATAATAACATTTTGACCCAGATTTATGCATTTCTCAATGATGTGCTGAAAGAACAATAAGCTGGTCTATATACTGCCTAGGATAAAGCTACATGGCACTTCCCATATTTATTCATTGCCTCCTCACCTCTCCTTCTAATCAGATTTCTGCCAAATCTTGTAGCTTGGGCATTTACTCCTGCTACTTTTCTGTTTGTATACAAGAATAATAATAGCATTCCTCTACTTTTCAGACAAAGATGCAGCTTTCACACACATGCTACAAAACCAAGCCATAAGAATGCTATCATGTTTAATAATACTCCAGTGACACCATCTACACACAATACAATAGAGGTAGTCATCACTGAATGATCTTAACTGAGATTAGAATTTATATTGTCAAGTGAAATGGTCATTAGACAAAACATTTCATGACCACATAGCAATGGCAGGGAGGTTGCAGGACTATAGTATTTTTAGTCAATGATCTCACAATTCTACTGCTGTGCTTTCCTTGTCTCTGCTTCAATTCCCATCTATTTACACCCATTTCTGTTCTCTGTCACTGCCACTTATTGTACCACCCCACTGGCCCTAAGTGACTAGTGCTTCTGTTGACGAAGTGTGTCCATCTGAAGCAGCTGCTAGTCCTTTGTGAGGGAATACAAGGGGAACTCACCAGATCTGCAGATGATACTAAGCTGGCAGGAATAGCTAACACCCAAGAAGATAGGCTCAAGACCCAGATGGATCTTGACAGACTAGAACACTGGGCCGTATCTAACAAAATGAAATTCAATGTAGAGAAAAGTAAAGTCCTACACTTAGGCAAGAAAAAACAAAAGTACACATATAGACTGGGTGAAACCAGGTTCAATGGCAATAACTGTGAGAAGGATCTTGGAGTCTTAGTGGACAACAGCTCAATAGGAGCCAGCAATGTGCAGCTGCTGCCAAAAAAGCTAATGCAATCCTAAATTGCATTAACAGAGGGATACAATCGAGATCAAGTGAGGTACTAATACCACTCTATAAAGCCTTACTAAGACCACACCTAGAGTACTGCATCCAATTTTGGTCACCACACTAGAAAAGGAATGTTGAGACTCTAAAAAAAGTACAGAGAAGAGCAACCAGGATGATTAGGGGACTGGAGACTAAAACATATGAAGAACGGTTACAGGAACTGGGCATGGCTAATTTAGTAAAGAGAAGGACCAGGGGAGACATGATAGCAGTCTTCCAATATTTGAGGAGCTGCCACAGAGAGGAAGGGGTCAAACTATTTTCTAAAGCACCTGAAGGCCAGACAAGAAATAATGGATGGAAACTGAACAAGGACAGATTTAACCTCGAAATAAGGAGAAACTTTGTGACAGTGAGAACAATCAACCAATGGAACAGTTTGCCCTCAGAAGTTGTGGGAGCGCCATCACTTTAGATTTTCAAGAAGAGATTGGACTCCCATTTGTCAGAAATGATAAGTCTCCTGCTTGGGCAGGGGTTGGACTAGATGACCTACAAGGTCCCTTCCAACTCTGTTATCTGTTAAGAAGGCCTCATACCTGAATTTTGATCATGGGACCATGGGGGTGCTGCAATGGTCATAACTTTTGAAGAGTGGCTGTAATTACAATGCTTGGCACCCTCAAAACTTCAAAGGATTGCTAAACAAATAATTGTTAATGAGGATTACCTGTATATTATTCATATTGGGAGCATAGTGTACTATTGGCTATAAGGAATGATAATAGGCAATGAACTGGGGAAGATATTAGATGACATTCCTAGCTACATGGGTTTGAATTTCAAGAGACCAAAATAGATTAAAGAGCACTTCAAGTTCTTTGGGGAGATTGCAAAATCTCAATCGGGCTAAACTTCTATTTATTATTAACATTAATCAGCATCACAGAAAGAAATAGCTATAATAAGTGTACACACATCATTTTGAGATTAAGAATTATCTGCTCAGGAATCCATTTCCATTTAGGATCATAATTCCATTTGTGATTATATCAAGATAAGAGTATGATAGCTGTACGATGTTACCTGACTGAGAAGGATGTCACCTACAGCTTCAGAGAGAGGCTATAAAATACATGATGGGCTAATACAAAAGATTGTACACTCCAAAACACAAATTGCATAGAATCAAGGAGAAATGTCTAAATTATATCACGTAACTTAATTCCTACAGCTAAATTGTAGAATTTTAGCTGTAAAGCAAGGTCCCGTTTTTGATGGTATCAAACCTGCCAATCAAATATCAAATCCAAAGGGTGGAACTTCTCCTATGTCCAAAAAGAGATAATTCACTAAACATACAAACCATTCCAATGCTGTTTCAAGATTTGAAGTTGGATTGTAAAGAAACTGTTCCACCTCAAAAAGTTAAAATTTCTATCATTCTCTTCAAGATCTTGTCCAAAAAGATTTACATCCTTATTTCAATGTTTAGGTTGCTTCAAAGTTAACTCCTATAAATTAGAATTATACATACATGAACATGCACGCACACAAGCAATTACATACATAATTTTATGTAAACATTATAATTAGTATTGAAAATAAGTATTTTAAGTATTTTCACAGCACCTTTAATTTCATCATGGAATCTTGACATAACTTATCACCTCGTGCTGCAGAGACTTCATCTATCCCAATGAGTTTTGCTTTGTATCGTACACCGTCACCTTTAAACCTCTTTATTAAAGTTGCTTCACTGCGATCCTGACCTGAAAAGAGAGATATAAGCTTGTAACCTGCACCTTTTGATATAAAAATATCAAAAGTTATATATTTATAAACAAGTTTAAATTTATTATACAGATATATTGCACCCACAAGCTTCACTTCCATCTGTTATTCTTCAGCTCGGTCTTGTTTTGGCCACAAAATGGAAGGAGGAAAGTAGTAAAAAAAATAATAAAGTGTCATATTTCTCAACAAAACCATAAAGGCCACTTGCACTTTTAAACTAATTACTAGTTTCTGAATTAATACATATGGAAAAAGACATAATATCAAAGGATGCATCTTTCCTCTTTTTATTATATAAGAAGTGTTAATGATGCCAGAACTGTATTACTTACTGGCCAAAAGTCACATCTAAAACAAACTAGTCATAAGTTTATCAAATCAAGCAAAGTATTTTTCTCTTGTAGACTAAATTATTATATATAACCCTTGTTTGATAATAACAGTCTACATGAGAATTAAAATCTGTGATTTGACATTGTTAGATCTTTGTGGCACTTAAAATTACCAATATTATTATTCAAATTACATACTACTATTTCTTGGTTTTCAGCCAGACTTCTTCATTGACATGCTACAATATTTTGTGTTCAAGACACAGACTATGTCTTAGCTGCTTTTTAGTTGGGTCCTATACAGGCAGGTTTTTAAAGCATCAACTGAATGAATATGTCTGTATAAAGTCCTTTTCATATTTATATCAGATCTGATGAAGCTTGCATATGAATATAATTTCTTGTTTTACTATTATAGTATCCTTTTCTGTTTTTGAAAAGTAATGAAGAACCTTGTTAATCTTTGAATTGGAAGAAAACTACAAACACAGGGTAATAGATAAGGCTGTGGAAGTCTAAAACATCCCAGAAGGCAGTGACGCACCACTTTCTTGCTATTATCAACAATAACAACCCTGCATAGACATTAACAAATACATAGTCAACAGAAGCTGAGCTCTCTAGATGTTTATATTTTTACACAACCTTTTTGTTTCTTCTCAACAAAGTTTGTTGGATATGGGGCGGGGAAGAAATACACTTCAAATTATTTATGTAGCCACGTGAGAGTACCATGTTTTGAGTGAATACCTAAACAACAGAAATGTAGAAATTGACCTCTACATTGAGACTGGTTCCAAAACTGTTATGCCATGCAAGTAGGGGGGAAAAAAGGGCACAGGAATTTAAACTTGATTTCACTCTAGATAGGAGTTACATTTCAGTTGGTGGAATTAGAAAGTTAGTTTGGTCTAGTGGTTAAGACACAAGGCTAATTCTAGTCCCACCTTAGCCATGAAAACCAATTGGGTGACTTTAGACCAGTAACTCTGTTTCAGTTCAACTCACCTCACAGGGCTGTTATGGGGAAAATAAGAAGGTGTGTTGAGTATGTTTTCTGTCTTGACTTATTTGTAAAAATAATAAAGGCAAGGAATCTAAATAATAAATAAATAAAATAAAAATAAAAACCCTTTCATTTTTTTTCACTTTTTTACAATAAATCTCATTTAGAGCTTGTGTGTCCTTATATGCTTATTGTGTTATTTCCAGTTTATCAAAATTTGAACAACAGATTAAACTTGAAAAAAATGTGTGTATTTACTCATTTAGTTATTTAAAAATGAGAATAAACACTGATTTGAGCAGAACTTAGCCAAATGAGCCCTGGTGCATTAATGATAACCCAGGTATCCCAATGTTGTCACTTGTTACAGTTGAAAAATGAGGGTCCTCACAATTGGGCAACTGTAGACTTTACCACAAGGATGAGCCCCAGCTGTACTTTCTGAAGTGACTGAATATGAGGAGTTTGAACATTTATCTATTTGTTAAATGAGCTAAAATGGAATGCAGAAGATAAAGACATATTTAAGCTATCAATATTTCAGAGAAGATGTGATCATTATATATTTTAACATACATTAATTTTTAAAAATCTTTAGTTCACATATCATTGCATGGATATATCTAAAGCTATCTAATATATCGAAGCTTAACTTTAATGAACATTAATCTCTCCTCAAAATGCAAGAATCTACTCACTAAGGAGAATATACTCTATTCTGAATCCACACTCAGCTAGCAATTGTAATAGTTTTCCACAGTTTTGAAATCCATAAGTATTAGATTCTCTTTTAAAGTTTCAATATTTTCTTTCTCATCCTCATGTTTTTTCTTTCTTTAGCTATACGTGGGTACATCGTCAATTTTTTTCTATTTTCATTGTGGGAAAGAATATGGTAGCTTAAAATATGATAGTTGTTTACAAATTTAAAAGCAATTAAACCCCACCAACGTTATCACCTATCTTGGTCCTTGAAAGGACTGGGTTTACCCCTGAATTTATCAAGTAATTGTGCCCACCTGCTCCTGAACAATATCATCTAAAAGACTAATGGCACATTGACTACTAGTCAGAAACTGTAAGTAATGTTTAAATTATGCCGGAGGCAAATGCTGAGGCAGATGTTACTAGCGAGAGATAAGAACAATAAAGGAACATTAGCAACCCTATACTCTGAGGAGAAAAAAAAATCACATCTGGATGCACAACAATGCTTTACTTAACCATAAGGCTATTATACATGTAGTTTATCTGTAACCATTCATGTTTCAATGTGTTTATGTGATAATAAATAAAACTTAATTGGTAAATCCTTGTTTTCACAATTTCCAGTTTTCCAATGCCATTATACAGTATATGCTATTCTCCAAATATATAATTTTATATGCTTCTTCAGTTTCACAGTAACTGCTCCTCATTTGTTAGTGGAACAAGACTATTTTGGAGAGAGAATAAAATATAATCCCATTTTACAGAAGTGATTAAAATGTTGGACTAAATCTAGAAAGACAAAGAATACTTTCAGCCACAGAAGCTCACAAGTTGAATTGGGACCAGTCATTCTTTCTCTACCAAATAACCTTACAAAGTTGCTGAGAGGAAAATTGGAAGAAGGAAGAACTATATATGCCAACTGCAGATTTTAAAAAGGGAAACAAATATAACATGATTAAATCCATTGATAAATAACCAGAGTCCAAAAATTTGCAAGTCTTTTCCAGTTGCAACCTCCTTACTTGGCGAAAAGGAGAAATGAAACTAAATTGGCTTAAATTTTAGAATATAAATGGAAACACATTTGTCTACATCCTTTTACGATATATGCAGCTGATCAGCAGCTGATCAGAAATCATCTAAGAACAACACTGAGCTCGTGATGATTGGAAATGTAGGTGATATGGCAATACCAGGAGATAATAGAAGACAAAATATTGGAGAAAATCACAAAGTATCAAGAACTGCAAAATGAAATTGAAATACTATGGCATAAACCAGTCATGATGGTCCCAGTGGTTTTCAGCACACTGGGTGTCATACCAAAAATGTTGTGTGGCATTTAGAAAATATATGTATTGACACTTGTCAATTAGAAAAGGTCACACTGCATAGAGCCACACATATACTACACCAATGCATTTATCCAAAATGGTATAGGATCTCCTGCTTGTTCAGAGTTGACTAGAAAATTTCCATCGTCCTTTCCATCTCTGTTATTCTGTATTCTGTATGCATAGTTCTTGCAAAGAACTCAATGTGTACGAAGGTCAATAGTAGCTAAAGAACTGGCAGCTATGATTTCACATTATTGTGAATATAACATAATATGACATTGTACATGAGACAGGAAATTCTAAAAAGTTCAAGTATGTTTGCTACAAGTTTGTACTAGATTCCTCAAACAAAATTTGAAGCCTGTATTCAAACTCAGATTTTACTCACTTTTTAAAATCCAACTATTACCTTCTTTATTGATGGCAAATTTCTTGAATGTTTTTGAAAAAGCAAAACATATTTTAGATCCCAAGTGATTTCTATTTGCACTGTAAAAGTACAGAATTAAATTGATATCTAAATCAAGTTAATTGTTGTGGAATTCAGAAGTCCTGTTTCTGATGATACAGCTATTAATGAAACTATCAGAATTATAAAACATAGTATTCACCAAACTTCATGTTGAAGACATCATCATCATCATCATCATCATTATCAGAGTGCATGTGTACAATGAGATTGGCTGAGCCTCCCTTCGTGCACTCCCCCTTAACACAACTCACAGTGAGGACAGAAGTCCCTAACCCAGTCCCAATCTTATTACACTATGTGACCTTGTTGCACAACGCGCCAGTCCTGCAAGTCTGTTATACTATGTTGACATGAAGTTATTTTCCATTCAGAAGACTGATAGCCCACAGGTAGAAACTGTTCTTCAGCCTGTTGGTGCGGCTGGCTATGCTTCTATATCTCCTACCCAATTGTAGGAGAGTAAAGAAGTGCTGACTGGGATGTGAGTCGTCCCTGAAAATTTTCCTCACTCTTCTAAGGCAGTGAGCCCTAGTGATGTCATATAGTGGTATCAGGGAACAGGCAACAATGTTTTGTGCTGTGCTCATCACCCTCTGTAATGTCTTTCTATCCACGGCTGTCAAGCCAGTAATGCAATATGTGAGGATGCTTTCTATTGTGGACCGGTAAAAGGAAGTCATCAGTCATTGTTCCACTTTATTCTTTCGCAAGATCCTAAGGAAATAGAGTCTCTGTTGGGCCTTTCTGGCCACCTGGGTTGTGTTAATTTTCCAGGTGAGATCTTCACTGAGGTAGACTCTCAGGAATTTAAAGGAGGAAACTCTCTCCACACAGGCCCTGCTGTGTAATGTGGGGTGGGTTCCTCTCTCTTTTTTCCGGAAGTCTAACACCATCTCCTTTGTCTTGCTGATGTTTAGGTGCAGGTTGTTTTCTAGGCAACATGAAGATAATTCTTGAACCTCCCCCCGTACACTGTTTCATCACCACCTGTAATGAGACCCAATATGGTAGTATCATCTGCAAACTTAATGATCACAGTGGATGGGTCAGACAATACACAATCATGTGTGTACAGTGAGTACAGGTAGGGACACAGCCTTGTGGGGAGCCAATG